ATTTAACTTTTGGCTTTCCCCCCCACATAATCTAGCAAAGGTCATCTTTGAATGGTTGGATATTCTCATGCTAGATTATGCAGAAGACTTTAAGTGACCATAACACATGCAATCAGAGATAATAATTATGGGGGGCAATCTTTGTATTACTCTTGATAAGACCTGGTACCATACTGTGACTTCATCATAAGAACCACTAGTGAAGCCCTATAAATAGAAAAACCACCAGCGATGCCACTGACAGATACATGTGTTGTCATCCGCTCACATGTAAACATGCACAAACACTTCAGGCTTGCACTACACAAACACTAAACCACACTTTTAGGACCATCGCTCCCCAACTGTGGTGATGTGCTTTGATGTAAATGGCAGTGCACAGACAGGGTTGGGATTGTAAACAACAGTTGGGGGATACCCCTGGTTTCATTGCCCCTGGACTGGTCAGTGTTAACACTGAGCTCTAGAAGACTGTAGTACACATTTAAAGAGAATTTCATTGAATCAATGAATGAACAAGGTTAAATTTAGGACAATGGTTTTCAACCTTTACAGACCTAGACCACCAACCCAAACTCTCAGCCAACCCAGGGACCAAATGAGCATTGAAAAAAAATCTAATCTTGTAGACATTAGCTAACATTACTAGAATAAATATGTCAAAAAACATTTGTTAGAATGTTAGAAATCAATTAGCTGTTAAAAATGTCCATCTATGATATACTATATCTTCTCTGTGGACCCATTGAGAACAGGCTACATTCAGAGACCATTGGTTGAAAGCCTAGTCTTTTTGCATCACACTGATAAGACAGTAGGCTACCTTTCTTGGATTTGAATGACAATAACCGTTCATATAACCGTACTTCATACTGTGGTAATATGAAGGTAGATTTGTGTCTTTATTATTCAATCAAAAAAAATGTTGCTTCAATCAAAAAAAATATTTTCAATTAAAAAAACCTTCACTTCAATGAAAAAAAAACTTTTCAATCAAAGAAAAAAAGTATTTGAATCCAAAAATATATTTGAGACTCAAAAAAATACATTTGAACACTGCTTTTCTTTGATTGAAAATGTTTTCTTTGATAGAAGTCCGGGTTTTTTTGTTTAAAGCAACCTTTTTAATTAAAGTAACATTGTTTTTTGATTGGACCATATAATGGGTAGGACATTTGTGTCTTTATCATTCAATCAAAAAAGAAGTTGCTTCAAACAAACAAACAACAGAATCAATACAAAAGTCACTTCAATGAAAAGATAAACATTTTCATATATAGAAAATAATTTTTGAATGCAAATAAAATATTTGAGACTCCAAAAATTGCATTTGAACACCTTTTGTTTTAATTGAAAATGTTCTCTTTGATTGAAGTAATCTTTTTTGTGTTTGGGCCATACATGGGTAGGACATTTGTGTCTTAATCATTCAATTCCAAAAAAGTTGTTTCAATCAAAAAAAAATATTTTCAATCAAAGAAAAAACTTTTCAAAAGCAAAAAAAAATTTATTTACCTCGTGTATAAAAAAAGTATTGAAGAGAATGTGTTTTTTCGTTGTTTTCGTTTTTTATTTGAAGTGGAAAAAAAAATAGAAGTTCAAATTGTTTTGATTGAATAATTATTTTTTTTTTGAAGTGCAAAAAGTTTTGAAGTTCAATTTTTTTTGATTGAATCATTTTGACACAAACGTTCCGCAGTGGGCGGGTGCTTCTCTGTTGGTCAGACATGTTTGATTGACAAGTGTCTACACCAACGACATCTTTCTGACAAAGAAGTCATGTTCGCCACTCGCCAGCAAGTTTTTACCCCTACAGGATATTATCTATTTATCATTTGATCTTGTGGCTCTAAGCATCGCGCCAGCCACACCAGCCACACGATCTCTCACTGTTTACTATCAGAAACTCCGATTAATACACGAGAGCACACAGACAGTGTTATCCTGCTCTTGTGTACGGGCGTCAGTTTGGTTTGGTTTGAAATGTGCTGGGGGGCGGAGAGACGTATTCGGAAGAGCATTTTCAAAAGTGCTGGGTACAATGACGCATTCATTATTTTTTTTCTCTTTCGAGTAGGCGCCGCGAGATGTTTCAAAAGTGGTGGGTACAAAATCGACCCTGGCAAAAAGTGGTGGGGACATGCATACATATCTATGTTTTTTTTTTACATATTATCTTATATTTTATTCGCTCTTTTGCCCGTATTGGAGCGCATCTTGTGGCTCTTAAGCGTCGGGCCAGCCACAAGATCTCTCACTGTTCTCATAGCCTACCAGACACTCCGATTGATGCACGAAAACACAGAGACAACGCAACCCTGCATTATTTACCCTTTTGTCATCTTATCTTATATTTTATTAGCTCGTTTGTCCCATAATGGAGCACGTTTCGTGGTGCGCCACAAGATTTCGCAATATTTCTCATAGTTGCGTGATTCTCCGATTGACATTCTGAAGGAGAATGATTTTGACCACTCCATTAAGTTTTTTTTTTTAATAAAGCCTTTCTTTAAAGTGAATTTCGTTTTTAATAAATTGCATCTTGATTTTAATCAATGTTTGATCAACCAATTCAGGATTTAATAAAAAAGAAGCAAAGCAAACATATAGGCATAGCAATAAAATCATGAACTTTTTGCTTTGCACGTTTCTCAAAGACATGATAAATAGGCTAGGCCTACATCTAGAAAGGTAGAAATGTCTATAGCCTAATTTTAAACAAAACAATTCAAAACGAAAATAAATAGATTATTCTACTCTCAGATTATATTTAATTCATATGAAATGAGCATTTCTCTCGGCGCGTTCACTACTGCGAAGATGGCTCCAATACGGGCAAAAAGAGCAAATAAAATATAAGAAAAAATTACAAAAAGGTAGATAAGAGATGGATTGGACTTTATTTGCTCTCATCTGAGTGTCTCATTTAAACAGTGAGAGATCTTGTGGCAGGCGCGACGCTAGGTGACGCGCACGCTCCATTATGGACAAAAAGAGCAAATAAAATATAAAATAAGATGACAAAAAGATACTTAAGAGCAGGATTGCACTGTCTGTTTTCACATGTGCATCAATCGGAGTGTCTGATAGGTGTAAACAGTAAGAGATCTTGTGGCTGGTATGGCTGGCGATGCTTAGAGCCACGACCCGTTCGCATAAAAAGAGCGAATAAAATATAAGATCAGACGATAAATGGGTAAATGAGATCTGTATTGCACTATGTGTGCTTTCGTGTAGCTACCATTAGGTGTAAATAGAGAGATCGTGTGGCTGGTGTGGCCGGCGCGACGCTTAATAGAGCCATGCGAGCGCACTCCCATACGCATAAAAAGAGCAAATAAAATATAATATAAGATGACAAAAAGGTAAATAAGAGATGGATTGCACGTTATTATACGCGCTCCAATACGGGCAAAAAGAACGAATAAAATATATGATCAGATGATAAATGTGTAAATAAGATCTGTATTGTACTGTATGTGTGCTCTCGTGTAGGCCTACCATTAGGAGTGTCTGATAGGTGTAAACAGTGAGAAATCTTGTGGCTAGGCAGGTGAAAAGCGTTTGGTTAATGGTGAATATTGACCTATTGTGCGTACCGTTCTGTCGGGGAATATGCGCTGCATTTACTGTAAATATTGTGTAAGTTCGAGTGGCAGGCGCTATATAATGCAGTGCATATAAGGCACATATATCCGTGGCCGGTCGAGTAGCGGATCCCCCTGCCAGGCAAAGATTTTATCCCCTCTAAAAAAGCTGCTGGCGAGTGGCGAACATGACTTCTTTGTCAGAAAGATGTCGTTGGTGTAGACACTTGTCAATCAAACATGTCTGACCAACAGAGAACCACCCGCCCACTGCGGAAGGTTTGTGTCAAAATGATTCAATCAAAAAAAAGTTTGAACTTCAAAACTTTTTGCACTTCAAAAAAAAAAAAAAAAAGGATTCAATCAAAACAATTTGAAATTCTAAATTTTTTTCACTTAAAAAAAAAACAAAAACAACGAAAACACACATTCTCTTCAATACTTTTTTTATACACGAGGTAAATAATTTTTTTTTGCTTTTGAAAAGTTTTTTCTTTGATTGAAAATATTTTTTTTTTGATTGAAACAACTTTTTTGGAATTGAATGATTAAGACACAAATGTCCTACCCATGTATGGCCCAAACACAAAAAAGATTACTTCAATCAAAGAGAACATTTTCAATTAAAACAAAAGGTGTTCAAATGCAATTTTTGGAGTCTCAAATATTTTATTTGCATTCAAAAATTATTTTCTATATTTGAAAATGTTTATCTTTTCATTGAAGTGACTTTTGTATTGATTCTGTTGTTTGTTTGTTTGAAGCAACTTCTTTTTTGATTGAATGATAAAGACACAAATGTCCTACCCATTATATGGTCCAATCAAAAAACAATGTTACTTTAATTAAAAAGGTTGCTTTAAACAAAAAAAACCGGACTTCTATCAAAGAAAACATTTTCAATCAAAGAAAAGCAGTGTTCAAATGTATTTTTTTGAGTCTCAAATATATTTTTGGATTCAAATACTTTTTTTCTTTGATTGAAAAGTTTTTTTTTCATTGAAGTGAAGGTTTTTTTAATTGAAAATATTTTTTTTGATTGAAGCAACATTTTTTTTGATTGAATAATAAAGACACAAATCTACCTTCATATGGTAAAACACTCACAAATGTGTCACTACATTATAATTTCGAATTCCCATTCTAATTCTTTAAGGGAAAAGTAAGATACAAGTGCATGTGAGTAAAAAAGATACAAACAGTGATATCAGGGTGTAAAGCAATATCAGGGAGGACAAAACACCTCTAAACAGTGATGTTTGACATTTAAGTTATCACTTAGCTTTTAAATGGTAGTACATTTCGTATATTAAACAGCTAGGGTGGGCAATGATCAATGAACTTGGTCTAGTTGTTATTTTCTTTGAATTCTCGCCAAGCCTTTTCAAATTCAATAAGTTAAATCAAACCTACCTTGACCCAGTCATATAAAAGTCCACCGAGTACCCGAAGTAACTACCGTTGGGTCCGTTATACACCGATGGGTTCTCCACATCCAAGTTGAAGGCAACAGACAAAGGTAGAAGAATCAAGAGTGAAAGTCCCATTGGAGAGCATTTCGGGTTGTGTGAAGACGCTGAAATCTTTGAACGATGCCTTTTGGAGCCCATTGTAATCGTTATGTCACAAGCCACTTCTTTATTAAACTTCTTTCAGAACAAAAGGGGGCACTTGAACGGAATCCTCCTGAAGATGCTGGCTCACGCAAATCTCATGCCTCGGTGAAGTGTATCAGCTTGATCCTTATTTTTCCAAGCGCTCTAAACGCGCCTCCGTCTATCTGTCCCCTTCTCTCCTTTCTGCGTCCTCCCTCAAGCTTAATTGAAGGGGTATTAGGAGGAGGAGGTTCACTTCTTCCAGTCATGACAAACTCCCATAGAGGTGGAGCTAAGAGCACAATTCACAAAGTGGGGAAATAGAGCGGTAGAATATTGAGATTGATAACTTCATCAAATAAGGGGAACTACATTGCAAAAGCAGCAGGATGGCTACAACAAAGACACAAATAGTTAACTATACAACTTGTGAACTTTTTAGGGCTCATTTCTCGAAATAAATCCATTTTACAAAGCTTTTTTTATATAGGCTAATAGAGTAAATATTTGGTTTTGTAAAAAAAAAAAAAAAATACTTATGTAGCCTAGCCTAATTTTTTATGAAGAATTAGGCCTACTGATAAAATCATGTCTATTAAAATCTAAAAATAAAAAATAAAAAAAAATCATTAAATTAAAAATATTTTTAAAATGAAAATAAAAAGAATAGCCCAATATAAAGAAACGCAGAAAACTCAGACTTGTGACATGTTCAGCAGTTCATCTGTCCACTTGTAGGACTCTGCATAGTTGTCAAAGATAGCTAAATAAATGATTAACCCTTTAAACAACGAAAGAGCTGCTTTCAAAGTCCGTTAATCCTCCAAAAACCGATCTCCAAACTGTTGCCTTAAACATGAACCTTCTCGGCATCGAGACGCTGATAAAAGCTTCGCAAGCCATCACAGAAGTATTGAAGCAATACCCTAGAGTCCGCGTGTGAATCTGTTTTAATCATGGTTTTAATTTGGAGATGATACACAAGCGAACACTGAGCAATCCCCATTTATAGATCTGACACATTCAGGACACACCGAGCTGGGAAATTTCGCGAGCTGTAAAAAGCCACTCCATAGACTGGAATTAGAATGTTGTTTTTTTAGTTGATTCAGCCTCTGCCCAAGGGATTGAAATGGGGAGCCAAATTTGGCTGCATGGCTACAGGGAACTCGCCGTGAGAAGATTTCTATTTGGGAAAGTAGGGTGTGAAGGGGGAGCTTCACAGCTGTCGAACCGCAACACTTTCAAGCAACTTCTTCCTCTTGCTCAAACTGCAGTAATCTGTATTTCAAGAAATAATTGTCCATTTCTTCTAACGATGCTGATGCTCGATTCGTGAACTCAAAGAACTTCCAAATAACGAATCTCAACAATTCGTTCACGAGAGTCAACTCATTGAATCAATGAATCTCTTTAATCCGATCATGCACAAAACTTTGAGTTATTATCAACATAGATACGAAACAGATGTGGTTTCAATAAATAACATTTTATTAAAATTTGTAAAGTTTTTTTTTTAATGTTATATTAAAAATTCCTTTATGTTTAGATTTACGCTGATAGGCTGTCCATGCCTATAACAGTTATCCTCGTTATTACCTGAGAGGCTCTAATTCTTGACACTTCTAAACACATTAAATCAGCTGTGCACCTGAACATCTGGAAACATAAAGAGAATGCATGGTGTTCATTTCACAAATCACACCACAAATGAAAGCATCCAGGGAAATGCAAAAGGAAAGTCTTATTGGTAATGTAAAGGAGTCATTTTAAACCCACGGTATGAGAGGCCTTTGTCCAGATCAGCTATAGCAAATACTGAGTTAGAATAACAGGAAAAGATTAGGTAATGGGACTGGATATGGGTCAGCTTTTCTTTTCATGGGCTCTGCAAAGGGGTGTAATGTCTGTAGGATATTGCTTGGATGTTGTCATACATGAAGGGGCATTAACAATGGTGGTAGCCAAAAAATGTCTTAACTAGCGGTGCTACATATGCAAGGTTGGTATGCTGCCTTTTTTCCCAAAGCCCTCCAGCAATAGCTAGAACACAAATAGGCTGCTTTGAACACATGTGCTCTTTTTTCACAGGGTGTGATGACTTAAAGGCATAGTTTACCCAAAAATGTAATTGTTTGCAATCCACAATGGCTTTCTTTCTTTTGATGAACACAAAATTTATAGCAGAATGTCCAAGCACAATGCGACCACAGGCCATGCAGTCAAGCAGGATTTAACGCAACTAGATTAAACTTAAATTTCAATCCGTTCCTCTAACAGAAGATTTTTAATGTTGAGTCGTATCGTATTATATGCTTTTTGGAGCTTGTCAGCCCCTATGCACATTCATTGTATGGAAGATGCATATTTCCATGGATGAAAGAAAGTGGTACATGTTTTAAATGACATAAATGTGAATAAATAATGAAATAATTTATTTTGAGTGAACTATGCCTTTAATTTTTCACCATGCCACGGGTATATTTAAAGATCTGGGAGTATGTCAGAAAGTGATGGATCACTATTTGGTAGCTAAGTTACTTGTGGAAATTTGCTGTCCTTGCTTCTTCTGAGTCAAGAGGTTTGTCATGCATGACTGGAGTCTAGACAACATTCAAGTAGTCTTTGAGTTTAGACACTACAAAATGTCTGTGTCTTAGACCATCTATTGAGGTTTGTCACACTAAAGAAAAAAACAATGACAGGATATCACACGTTTTTTTTTTTTTTTTTTTTTTTTTTTTATAATAAGTTTCCAATGAAACAACAACAGGTTAAGATTTATTGTGAGGGAATTGATTCCACTTCAAAATCGAGTACTTTTTTCCATTGTGGCCCGTAAATACCTTGTATATTTCTTAAACTAGGACAAATTTCTAGGTGGGGGACATTCATACATTGTGACTTCACAAATGCTAACATGGCAACCGTGAGCACAACAAAAATAGTGTGAGTGGCGCATGCTGTACACCAAACAGCTGGGGAGCTGTTTTAAGACAGAGCATATAAATATTGTAGCTACTCATACTCATTTGCATTTATAGATATATGCACACAGTTATGACATTCAAAATCACATGGTGCCAAAATCATGTGTGGTTCATTTCAAGGCTTTAATGCATAACTGTTAGCAAGGTCATTTAACATTGTGATGTTTAGTTTCAATTGTTGATCTTACCATGTATGTCATATATATGCATTCATTTAATTTATGAAGGGATTTTCTAAGTTAAATTAATAAATTAAGCACCACAAACAATAATTTTGATTCATCCCTCAGTAAGTCTATCTGTTTTATTAAAGCATGTATATGTACTGTATATGTACAAAAATGTGCTTATTTAAAGTCAATTTGTCTATTTTATATATATATATATATATATATATATATATATATATGGATGAGTGCATTTATACAATTTTCTGAAGTTCGGGTTGTAAAAATGTAGGAAAATAATGTAATAGTAATTTAGTAAGCTATTGTATCCCAAATTGAGTTAATTTTTCTTTTTTACAAAATAGTGGTATTTTGTAGTCAAGGATTTTATGTTTTTCCGATCTCACGACCAAATCGTACGAATTCGACGAATGATTAAAAAGTGGCTAATTCGTAACAATTCATACGACCTCACTCGTACGAATTAATACGATTTTGCTAAATCGTACATATTTTACGAATTGGCCAATTCGTATGAATTCGTACGAATGACCTACCCCTGACCCCGCCCCTAAACCTAACCATCACGTGGGTTTAGACAAATCGTACAAATTAGTACGAGTGAGGTCGTACGAATTAGTACGAATTAGACACTTTTTAATCATGCGTCGAATTCGTACGAATTGGTCGTGAGATAGTGTTGAAACCCTGAACATTCCATACATTTATAATTTAAGTATTTATTAGTTTTTAGTAAAGGAAATAAGTGAAAGAGACTCTTGTGATCAGATATTTTAAACTTCAAAAGCAACAAGAAACTGAGAGCCTTTTATACTACCACACTCGATTACTCTTATGTGGTTGTGATAACAAGAAAAGGCTCTTTCTATTTTTTCTGAGAGAGTGAAGTTGTTCACATTTGTGTTGGCAGAACGCCTTAATCTCTCAATCTCTTATCAGCATCTAAATACACAATCAAGTGTGCTCTCTTTTTCCTTCTCCCTCTCTGTCCAACAGCCCTTCACCTAACTTCAGAAAACTGATATGCATCACTCAGACAGGAAATGCCTCTATAACGTAAAGACCTGCCTTCACTTCCTGCTACTTCAACTTATTGCCTCTCTCACGTATAAAGACTCCGTGGAATGTCTTTCCCTCATCCTGGGCTTCTTTAACATTTTTACTATGAAAGGGAGGAAGTTTTGGGAGCTGATGTTGCTGATAGCTGCAGACAACCTGTTAAATTGTGAATTAGCTGATAGATGCGAGTTTAAGGAATGGGATTTTGGCTAGTGGGACAGTTCTCATTGGAAGCAGAGTGAAATTGACTTGATCTTTATAATTATAGAGTTTTTGTGAAGATCAATATCTCAACAAACCCCAAACCAGAATAGTTCAACTTTAAAGTTACTTAAAGTGATCTGATGTACAATAAAATTAGTTAAGGACTGACCCGAGTCATATTTAAATGAATTTGCACATGGTTTGTCTTAAAGCATATTAAAAACCCCACATAGGACATATAAACAACATTAAAAGCTGGATTTTCACCACAGGGGGACTTTAAGATACATACCGGTATGCTCTTTTAAGTCAGCATATCCTTTGTGAATACAATCCCAGAATTCATTGCACAAGGTAAGTGAAATAACTACGTTTTGGAAAAGACTTTGCATCAGGAAAGCACTCGTGATAATGTCTATGTAGTCAGATTGTTAGGTTTATGTTAAACTGACTTAACTTAAATGTTTGCTCTAAACATGCTCACCCTCTCACCTCTGCTGTCTTGTGGATTTTAGGTGACCCTGAAGGCCTTCACATAGATCTTTTTACACTTTCTGTCAGCATACCCTCTCTGTTGCTGACTCTGTCCAACCTCCCATACCTCTTCTGTGAAGTGATGTCACACATTTTATGTGATCCCTATAAACTAAGATGCATGTAAAATGGGTGACCTCAAAATGATGGTAAGATCTTAATCAATACTTTAATGAGGTTGCATTTAAAATGTAGCCATTTTCATCACCTAACATGAAATTGAAAAGAATAGTATTTGCATGAATGACAACTGATCCTATATGCCAAGGCAACATAAGTGCGTTGTAAATGGCATGGTGGGATGTTTATGTGGCTCATTAGTTGTCTGGCGAACTCTGAGTGGGAGTTCAGTGCAGAATACTACGCCTCATGTCTCAGTGTGGGATCCTAGCGGATGTGCATTAAACACAAGCACGCGTCGTGAACCATTTTGTGGCTCTTTAAAGAAGGCTTGGGAACAATACTATCTTAGGTGTCGTCTTTGAGCGGATTCCTGTGGAGCCAGCCTGTGTTTGGAAAAGAAAATAGCACAGTGAAACTTTAGACACAACAGATGAGAGTTAGAGTACTTTAAGACAAGGGGTCAACCGCATGTAAACACTGCATTTTCTGTTTTCTAAATTTACAACTTCTGAACTTGACCCCAACTCTTGGGACAAATGCCCCCACATGGGCTTTACAATCCTCTGTCTTCCATAAAATAAACTTGGATGAGGTGAAATTAATTCAATTAAAGTTATGTTTCCTACACTCTCAGAAAAAAAAAGACACAAAAGCAGTCACTGTGGCTGTACCTTTTCAAAAGGTAAACTTTTGTCCATTTCAGGTGCTAATATGTACATTTTAGGTGTGAATATGTACATTTCAGGTGCTAATATGTACATTTTAAGCGTTAATATGTACATTTCAGGTGCTAATATGTAAATTTTAGGTATGAATATGCACATTTCAGGTGCTAATATGTACATTTTAAGCGTAATATGCACATTTCAGGTGCTAATATGTACATTTTAGGTGTGAATATGTACATTTCAGATGCTAATATGTACATTTCAGGTGCTAATTTGTACATTTTATGTACTAATATGTAGATTTTAGGTGTTAATATACATTTTAGATGCTAATATGTACATTTTAGGTGCTAACATGTACATTTTAGGTGCTAATATGTACATTTTAGGTGCTAATATGTACATTTTAGGTGCTAATATGTACCATTAAGGTACCAATATGCAGCCTTTAGGTACAAAAGTGTATGTTTTGAAAGGGTACAGCCCCAGTGACAGCTTTTGTACCTTTTTTCTGAGAGTCTGTGGTGTGTGGCAGACAGCAGGAAAAAAAAATCAACTAACCATTTAATAAAAATATATAAAAAGACCTACCCATTTATTTATTGATTGAATTAATTGGATTTAATTGGATAGTTCACCCAAAAACGAAGTGTCACTAAAAAAGTGTCATCTCTTACTCACGCTCAAGTTGTTATAAACCTGTATAAGTTTCTTTCTTCTGTTGAACTCAAACAATAAAGAATGTTGAGAACCAGAGATTTGATGGTCATTGACTTCCATAGTGGGAAAAAAAAATAAAAATAAATGGCTACCATCAACTGTCTGGTTACCAACATTGGCCCAGTGTTTGTTCCATAAACGTTGTTAGTAATTTTGCATATTCTGGGGTGACATATTTTGTTTTTCTTTTGCATGATATGCAATTGTCATGCTGCATTCTTCAATTCTGTTCAATTTTGTAAATCCTAAAGCAAACCCAGTTGAGAGCCACTGCCCTAGCCTGTAATGTAATGAGGTAATGCAATAACAACACTTGGCGGGGAAATATTTTGTTAGAAATGAAAAAATGACTTAAGAAGCCAGCTCTGAATTTCTCCATATCTTGGTTTCTCAAATGACTTATCGTGACTTATGTTCTCCAAGTACCAATGAAATATACGAGACTGTGCTAATACCATACCCATCACCAGTAAGAAAACAACAGGGATTCCGGTGACCTTCTGTACTTTTAGACCAGAGTAATGAAATTACACAGTGTGAGAATTTATGGAGTCTGCAATGTTTCTCCAGGAGGACATAATTCTAATGAGCCTTTGAAGGGAAATGTAGTTCTGGAGCAAGTTACTCTGCTGCAACACAAACTAAACATCAAAAAACAGAGATCAGAGCACCATCGGCAACATACTTTATCACGAACAAGTACAAGGTCTGAAAAACTGTTTCTCGTTCATAAAACGAGATTCACATTCATAAAATTGAGATACTTTTAAGATATTTTGAAGAAAACGGAAGGAAAACTCTCCACCATTAAGCCAGGGTGTTGCTATGCAGTTGCTAGGGCGTCCAGGTGGTTGCTTAATGGGCCAAGTCCAAACTTATTTTTGCTTTAGAGGTCATCCATCCAAGGTCAAAAAATATATATTTTTAATATACAGTGACTGCACAGTCTCTCTAAACGACTCCTTTCCGTAAGCCTGCTCTGCCCTGATTGGTCAGACAGTCTCTGTTGTGATGGGTCTACTGCTATAGCCTATATATAGACATATATCACAGTACTGCTGCTTTTACTGTGTTTTGGTTAAAAAAATGCCTTAGTGAGTATTCATTTATAAAAATTAAAAAAATCTAGAGACTGCAAACTTTTAAGCAGTAATGGTATTTACTTTATTTCTATGTGATAAAAAATACTCAATTCTGAAATATACCACTAAGGTAGTTATGTATATTTAAAATAGACTGTTTACCCAATATTTGTTCTGTTTTTATTGTTAAGAGTTGTGTGTAGTTAGATAAACGGCAAACTCGATCACTTTTTGAGTTGTTGAGTCTTTAAGCTAAAGATGACGACAATGTTGTTCTGTAAAGTCTCCTAATCTTATAATGATCTCTGGTCACTTGCTAATGAGCTCCTTTGAATTTGTGCAATTGAGTCAAACACTTAATGACATAGTTGGCATTTTCCAAATTCTTTTAAACAGGGTTCATTTGAATAAAACAAAACAAGCATATTTGTATTGTCTTAAACCAGTTTTGTGATATTTACATTTATTCATTTTCCAAACGGTATTTCCATGGCTCCACTGAAGTTCTTCTACTATGCAAGCGTGCAGTTTAGTATTTACTTATACTCTGTCCATCGGTCTCTTAGAGCCCTCTGACCTCCTGTGTTTTCTCATTGGGTTAAACCAAGTCGGGGGCAGGCATGAGGCCCAATGGGGGAAAAAATAGAGTATGGGTAAATGTGTTTGCGTTGGTGTGTGTGCGTCCAGGGCTCTTGAGCACAGAACAGACAGGCAGTAAATCAGGCTTTTAGGGGGATCCCACAGGGGAACTCTGTTCCCTCTATCTTGAACCCCGACACACATACTCATGCACACATAAATAAACAGATCACAAGTGCAGTTATTCCACATTCATGAACTTCTAAACATAGAAGCATTATGCTCAAATGTATTGCTTGCTGTAGTCCATAAATCTTTCCACACGCAATTAATTGCCAGTCCTCAGATTGAAAACGGCAATTATGGAGGCATCGTTGTACGATTAGGTCCAACTAAATGATTTTTAACACATAAAGATACTCAAAATACTATGAAAAATTGCTATGAGTCATTTTCACAACATGATATGGATGGAAATTACTTTTCAAGCATTTTTTTTAATTAAATGGCTGTCTTCTGAAGGGATAATTCGCCCAAAAATGAAAATTATGTCATCATTTACTCACCCTCAAGTTGTTTTAAAACCTGTATGAAAAACAGTTGATGGGCCCATAGTATGGAAACAAAAATACTATGGAAGTCAATGGGGCCCCTCAACTGTTTGATATATTCTTCAAAATAATATTTTGTGTTCAGCAGAAGAAAGAAATTCATACAGGTTTGGAACAACTTGAAGGTGAGTAAATGATGACAGAATTTTCATTTTTGGGTGAAGCAATATCACAATTTTTGCATAATTTTCAAAAGAAATTACGATTGGAGTGATTGGAAATTACGCACAATATAAATATTCTGTTCACAAGTGATTTGTTATCTCAAATTTGTATCTCAAATTTCATCTAAAGCTCTCACTGATCCTGTTGCCTTGAACCATAGACTTAAAATGTTGAATAAAACTTTATTATTAGCAAAATTCTTTGTTGTGGTAGAAACTGGGATAATCATTTTTATGTAAAACTATCTAAATCATTTTCAAACAGTATCATGAGCATGAAACCATGAACAAAGCTTCTTTTTTATATATAACTCATATTTTTAAAAGCTGATCTTCATAATTTAAGATTGAAACAAAAGAAATCTGCAACATTTCGGTTTTAAACTGAATATCTGTGAGAAATCTTTAATGCTCTGTATTTGATCTCATTGGATCCCGTGCAGTCATGGTTCTGCCATTTTTGGTGAGCTCGATTGTTGGCACTCACATAAAAAGGTCAGCGTAGTCTGGAGCATCACAGCCCAACTGCAATGAAACACTGTGTTCTCTGGAGTGACTCACTGCATTTTCCAATAGTCCTGTAACACACTCTCTGACACACAGAATATGACAGGATCTTCCTTATAAGACTATGCTCACAATACAACTCTCCAGAGAAAAAATAAGGTGACATACAGAAGAGTACCTTATATAGATGGTATAAAGGTTGTGAATGTGATTACAATATTTGTATATCTAGGTGGAGAGGACTGTTTATTAGACAGTTCAACTGATTCACTTTGGAGTGGCTCTTTTAAAACACTAAATCCAGGACTGATGAAGCATGGTTTACTCTTTCTTTACTTTTGCAGGGTCAGGTTTCTGTGAAAATAAACCACAGTTGTCTTCACAAACAACCTTGTGGCAGGGGTGAGATGTTTCTTTTAATGGAGAAGTCCAAGGCATGCTGACCGTTGGAGTTGAGCTGGTAATTTGAGATATTCCTACCCTTAATATTGCCAGTCCATTTTGCATTTGTCGTGGCATCTCCACCTGTTGAGAAGGTCCCATATTCAGCATGCAATTTATAGGATAATTGTCAACATAATTGCCTAATAAATACTAGGATAAACCTACAATTATTTAGATTAACAAACAAAATTAAATTAAATTAAATTAATTATTTATATTAATTAAAATTAAATTATTATTAAACAAATAATTACATTTTGAAAGAAGTTCAAAAAGTTTTGTTTGTGAAAGAAGATACTTATGTTCACCAAGGCTGCATTTTTTAAATAAAAAATATACTAAAAACAGTAATATTGAGAAATATCATTACATTTTAAAATACCTGTTTAATATTGCAATGTATTTTAAAATTTAATTTATTCCTGTGATGGCAAAGCTGTCCATAACTGCTACTTGTCTGTATAGAACATACAAAAACATTGGATTTGAAGGAACTTATGCTGGTCCAAGCTGGTTTATGCTAGTAAGCATTGGTTTAGTTAACCCGATCTCACGGCAATTCGTACGAGTTTTACGAGGTGGCTAATTCGTAACAATTCATACGACCTCACTCGTATGAATTAGTATGATTTTTGCTAAATCGTACATATTTTACAAGTTGGCCAAATCATATGACTGACCTACCCCTGACCCCGCCCCTAAACCTACCCATCACGTGGGTTTAGACAAATCGAACGAATTCGTACAAGTGAGGTCGTACGAATTGTTATGAATTAGCCATTTAAATTACTCGTACAAATTTGTACGAATTGGTCGTGAGAAAGCGTTGGTTTAGTGCTGATCAAGCTGGTGGACCAGCAATATTACCCAACAAATACTTTCTGGTAAGACTGGTTGACCAAGAACGATTTGCTGAATTAGGGACCATTTACATGACACCGTTTTCAACAAAAAAAGTCAAACTTTTTATGTGTTTTGGCCGTTCTTTTACACGACAACAGCATTTTTGGGGCCTGAAAACGAACTTTTGAAAACGTTTTTCAAAGTGCGAAGTGTTTGAAAACGATACCGTTATCATCTCAGTGTAGACTATAACAACGCAAATTAGTTTAAACGGTGACGTCACGTGCATGCGTATTACGTGTTTAGTCGGCGGTTAGTTTCTCTTTACAGTGTGACATTGCCAACTACTGGCCTGGCATGAATAATACAATGTTTATTTGTCATTTCAGTGTTTCATTTCAGTGTTGTCATGTGTATACGTACCATTAGTTTCCCGTTGGGACATTGTGTGTGCACCATTTATGGCGTTCAATCCGGACTATATGTGTTGTTACAGGAACATCACTTCCTGCTATTGTGGAAAGGAATGTTGCTGTGTTTTTGGATTTTGTGGAGAGTGTGATGCATCACCAGCGCTTACAATGAAAGGCATATTTTATATGGTGCCCTGTTGAAAATTGTGGTACATGATGTACAGTTTTGAGCAGCATAGGGTGAAGCTACTGTAAAAAAAAATTTTGTTTCAAGATTTTTTATCACAACGTTTTTTCTTTTGTCAAATCAACTTAAATAATTTGTATTTAGTTCAGATAACTTATTATTTTGAGTTTCTGATGATTAAATAAATCTCCTTCATTGTATTAACTCACTTTTTCCAGTTCAATCAACTTAAAATTTTGAAGGCAACCAGGTTACTTTTTTAAGTTAAACCAACAATATTTTTTTTACAGTGTGGCTGCCTGTTCATAAACTAAGGTGTGTCAGTCATTTGAAAGCTACTCTAATATTATATTTAAATAATCACCCTCTTTTAGGCATATTTCCTTTCCACAATGTTTGCTGACCATTTCTCATGACACACGCCTTGCTCAGTGGATTGCCACAGGGAGTCTGACACCACACGGGACTCTGAGATGCATGCAAACATCTGCTACTGTGAGAATCTCATTTGCTCATCTTCATGTTTCCCAGAAGAAGGACTGAGATTGTTTGTGGCAGATCGGAGAGAGGAAATGCATGGTATGTCACGTAAAAACAAAACAAACATTCTGATGTTTAGCCACTGACAGGCAGCTGGAAAATGAAGAGACAGTTGCTTTTCCTGCTGAGAGATAGACTAGTGAACCCAATCTGTGTTGTTTCTTTAACACTGTGGTATGTGCTTCTCTAATTTTGTCTTTTTAGTGTTTTCTGCTGCACTAAAACACCCAAGAAGACCAAGAGACCAATCTGCACAGGTTACCTTGTTTGCTATTTTAATTCACAATGTTGGAACAAATCATTATATACCAATTTCTGCAGACACCAGTTTAAAAAACCCTGCATACTAAACCTGCTGAAATCATCAAGGCTTTCACAGAGGACCGGTTCACCTTAAATGCTCTCTTTAAGTTTATTTGACATAAGAGATTTAGAATAAACAAGACCAGTTGGTAGCCAATGAGAATACATCACAGTTACTTTAGAGATAATGACACCTAAATAGAAGACAAATAAACCTGAAGATACATACAATCATAGCAGAAAAGATGACAACTTCTCAAATCTCTACCTTAATTCCTAGTATGGAGAATTGTAACAGCAGAAACCATGAACAAAGAACAAGTAGTAGACTTTCTCGGTATATTTAGGCCTAATACTTTTTAATGTAGTACGAAAGATATTTTAAGATTATTTGCTTAGGTGAGAGAGATGTTTTTGTATTAGATATTGCATTTTTCCTTTAGCATGTAAACCTTGAGAGACTATAAAAGAGGTTTGTGTGCTTTACGACTGTTCACATGCGCAGTTTTGTGAGTGTTTGTTTTGAAATGATTGTAAACTCACTGCATTCTGAATGTGTAATCCATTTGAAAGATCATCATTGTATCATTTTATTGCCAAACATAACCTTTATATGAAAAGTCTCGTGCAAACAGAACAGATAAGCTCATACAGGATGTGAGACATCTATTCTTACGAGTGAATCAGCTCGTCGTCCTTCATCAGGAAACACACTAACATCTGACGGTTTGCGCTAAACCGACCAAGGCAACACCTTGTATGGCCATCTGCGTTCTCAGAAACAATATTACCCAGAGGTCTGTGGCTATTAGACTGCGGATTCAAGTGCACTTAATGATGACCGCAATGAGTGTGAGGTTCAAACAGAACACAGACATGGTTCTTCTCAGCTTATCTATATAATTCCTGACCGCTAGTATCAAGTGATCCCGTGGTAGCATCATCCCCCCCCCCCAAACAACACAAAAGAGCTAATATAAAGGTTACCAGAGAAGGTGATGTGGGGTCTGTTCTGACATGATCGTAATAGCAGAAAAGGAAAGCAATCCCAGATCTGCTGATAACAGGCCTGGCTAACTGGAGCCATTCAGACAGGATCACATGGAGTTGTTTGGAAGCTGAATGCTGTGCTTTATCTCGAATGACAGCTGACTATAATAGTTCAGGCTTAGTTCGGAGTGATCCCCTGAAACGTCTTGGGAAATATGAGTCACAAACAAATGATTATGAATCATATGATTTACGGCTTGAAATTTTTACGCACCCACTGCTTGCCTCTCACATACTATGTTTCCGTTCCTTGTCCTGAGTATGACTACTTTAGGCCAGTATACGGTGAACCCACTTCCCTTCATTTCAACTTTCACACAGTCACCTCTGCACGTTGGCAGATAAGATTTAAATAGCTCTCAAACTGTGAAATGTCTGAGTCTGACAGCAGAACATCATGTAAGGTCCCACTTCATGAGAGAGTGGACTTGGCTCCCATCCTATCTACGTCCCACCAACCTCATATTTCCCTTCCAAGCCATGAAAGAGTGGGTAACCTGGGAGACTGTGACTTTGGATTAGGTAGAGAAATAAACTTTAGGGTAAAGATCTCTTTCCACATGACCTTTTAGAGCATGTGATTTCCACTCAGAAATGGCAAGCATGAGGAACCCCATATTACTATTCCCCTCTCCTCTATGTATATCCTTCATTTCTTTTCCTCTGCTGTGAAAAGTCTTGCTCCCCCATTTGCCAGAGGTCTGGCTTACATTAACGATTTGGCATAGCGCCCCTTGGGGCGGTTCACACTGCCACGAGATCCGTCATTGCTTAGACCCCGCCTGTTTCTGTCTCATCCACCAATTGAAGCCTCCCAGCCCCCTACAGTCACACACACCACCCTCCCTTTTTTCCCAACAGAATATTTAGACTCTTGGCCGGCGCTCGGAACGTGTGAGTGAGCTGGAAGTTTGGTGTGTAAGCAAGCTGGTTGCTAAGCTGGAATCTGTGAGGTGTGAGTACACGTTCACATACTCTTGGCTAACCCATCCTGTCCATGTTCTGGCTGTAGACCCTGAGCTGAGGCTGGGGATTTGGGGAAGGCCCAGAGTACTCATTTATGACGTGAACAGTATCGGAGACTCTAAAAGATAGGGAAGAATTTTTCAGAGAGAGATTTATGATGCATGATGTAAAGCTCATTGCAACAATAACTCAGGGACTTGGGGAGATCTGAATAAGGGAGTTTATAAACCTGGTGGCCAGCCAGGATTACTGATGTCACTGCAGGCAACCACAAGAACGAGGTACGCCTTTGTCCTGTTCAGCTCAGAGTAGAGTTTGTCCTCCAATAACATCTACATGGAGTCTTCGAATTCATGTCTTTTAGGTTCTTCCATCATCTGTAATATCATCTGGCATTTATGGTTCCCCACCCAAACAGCAGATCACACCACAGTAAAGCAATCTATCCTCTCATCCATGCTCAAGTTCACATCACCTCCCATCTCACATGTGTCACAGAGTCTCAAACGGTTGATCAATGGTTTGGCAGGCACAAGACGGAGTTGCTTTGATCCCACCGTTTGAGAGCTCAGTCTTTTAAAATGTTCCGTGATTTCCTACGGCCCTAATTGCTTCCATCTCTCTCAGTTGTGGTGCACTCAGTGCTGACTGCTACAGAATTAACGCAGGGAAGGCTGGAGAACGCAACAGTGGGGAGGATTAGGTCACCTAGTTGTTATTTCTTATTATTTGCATTGGATCCTACACCTTTGAATGTAGTCGCTGCCTAGAGGAGCTAA